TCTTATGAGCTTGACAATGATGGGCGGTTCAAGTATTTTTTTTTTTGTGCTTGGGGGCTTCTATTCATGGTTGGCGCCATTGTAGGCCTGTGATCTCAGTTGATGGCACTTTTTTGAAGAATTAGTTTTCTGAGACCTTGCTTCTCTCTGCAGTTTTAGATGCTGATAATCATATTTTTCTGCTTGGTTTTGCAATTGTTGATTCGGAGAATGACTCCTCGTAGGAATGGTTTTTTGAAAGGCTTAAGGAGGCCATCGAAACTCGTGAAGAACTTGTTATTGTTTATGACCGAAAGAGTAGTATCCCTAAAGTAGTTGAGAAGGTATTTCCGGATGCATCTCATGGATTTTGTATGCAGCATTTACTTAGAAATTTGAATTCAAATTTTAAAGGTGTGCATGTGGATGCTATATTCTATCGTTGTGCCAAGGCATACCGTAAGGAAGACTTTGGTTACTTCATGCGTCAATTGGAGGCAGTGCGACCAGCTATTCAAAATTATTTGCTGCAAGTAGGGGTTGAAAAGTGGGCACGTGCTCACTTTGAGAGGAAGAGATATGATGTCATGACGACTAATATCTCCGAGTCGTTGAATAATGTCTTAGTGAATGCTAGGGAGTATCCTATTGAAGCTTTAATTGAGCATTTCAGATCCCTCTTGCAAAGATGGTTTTATGAGTGTCGAAATAAGGCGGATCAAACTTTTACATACTTGACTAAACATGCAACTAAATGCCTTCGTGATAGGGAAAAGATTGCACGTTCTTATCTGTAAGTTGCTTTTCTTTCAAGTATTTACTTCTTTTTTTTGTGTTTTCCTTTTTTTTTTTTGTTTCATTTTTTTGGTTATGTTATTGATGTGATCTTTTTTGTGATTCTTTTGGTCTTTTTTTTTTGAAGTTATTCTATTGTTTTTTGAATGCTCTGTTTTCTTCTTTTTGTCATGTTTTCAGGTTCAACCCATGGATATCAATAAGTATTATGTTGTTGATGGTTTAGTTGGTGAGGTGGTTGACTTGGTGGCAAGAACATGTAGTTGTCTTGTTTGATAAGCTGATGAATTTCCATGTCCACACGCTATTGCATCGATTTGGGAAAGAAATCTTGATCCAACACATTTTACTTCCTACTATTACACCAACAATGCATTCAAAGCAATATATGATGTTGTAATCTATCCTATTACTAATAGATCAAAGTGGCAAATTTCAGAGGGCAGTGAGGTGGAGGTTGTTCTTCCTCCTGAGTTTAAACGTGGTGCTGGGAGGCCAAGGAAGCAAAGAATTCTTTCTAGTGGAGAACGAGAGAAGTAATCTGTGAAGTGTAGTCGATGCAAGCAAGTTGGCCACAATAGGAGGACTTGTTCAAACCCCACATTTGTTGATATGAACTGATTATCATGTTCTAAGTTGATTTTTTGTCATTATGTTCTAAGTTGGAATTGAATGATTTGAAGGAAAAATATTCAAATTTTTCTAATAATAAAAGAAATCCATGCATTTAATAGTTAAAAAAAACTATGATTTATGGATTATGGTCTAATTTGATAGGTTTTTGTCCATAACTTGTCAAGTTATGGACCATAACTTCAGTTGTTATGTACCATAACTTGTGCTGTTATGGACCATAACTTGACAGGTTATGGTCCATAATTTACAGATTTTTTATTCAGTTATATTTTAAAACCCTATCCCAGTTTTTTTACTCGGTTTTTGTGCATAACTTGTGTTGTTATGGAGCATAACTTGACAGGTTATGGTCCATAATTTGCATATTTTTATTCGGTTATATTTTAAAAACTGTATCCCAGATTTTTTTACTCTGTTTTTGTGCATAACTTGTCAAGTTATGGACCATAACTTCTGTTGTTATGTACCATAACTTGTGCTGTTATGGACCATAACTTGACAGGTTATGGTCCATAATTTACAGATTTCTTATTCGGTTATATTTTAAAACCCTATCCCAGTTTTTTTACTCAATTTTTGTGCATAACTTGTCAAGTTATGTACCATAACTTGTGCTGTTATGGAGCATAACTTGACAGGTTATGGTCCATAATTTACAAATTTTTTATTCGGTTATATTTTAAA